TTGCTCATTCCAAGTTCAAACGCGATGGCTGTGTACCCTGGATAATTTGATAATTGCCAAGCGATAAGCGCTGCAAGTGATGCGCGCTATGTATACATTATCTGAAGCCAAAGCATGCCAGCTCCAATATGGCCAAGAGGAGGAGGCCAATGCAAATATTTATGCTGGATCGACCTGGGAGGCTATTGCATTTATTGGAAATTTGGCTGCTTTGAGACTGTTGAAGTATTTGCAACATATTCTAATCAAAATTCAATTAATCGAGTATTTACTGTACCGTGCAACTGACTAACAACAGCTAAGCAGCGGTAGTTTAACACCTCCGCCGAACAGTATGCAATGAAATCTGATGCGCAGCACAATCTAAAACTATTTACTACGTTTCTGAATGAATATTATCCTTCATGCTTAATTCTACTGCTCACTCATGCACAAACATGATTAATTAGTCTGTTATGAGCTCACTGATAATTTGGCCCTCTAGGCAACCCATTCGAGGCCATCCAGCGTTATATGAGCTAGCTCTTTTAAATAGCGCTGTTCACACTTCGAGTGGACATGTGTTTCAAGCGGCAGCAGCAGCCATCAGAAGTGGACTCCAGTCTGACCGCCTGCTTATGTACCTCGCACTTCAGATGCCCCAGCCAAGTCCTCTTTTTTCTACACACTGCCCTGGCTGCTGCTGTTGATGTTCATGTATCATGGGGGCATTTATCAAGTGTCCCTTCGGAGCAGCAGTTGCTGTAGCTGTGGCTGTGGCTGTGGCTGCCGCGCCACATTCTGCTCATAGTTGACCAACACTTGTCATATCCCCTGGCATGGCAAATACGTATGTATGGGATCCCCGGACCGTGCCTGAACTTTAAAGTGCATTTTTAGCTGGCCATACATAAATTGAAGTGAAGCAACAATTCCATAGATCATGTGGCCTATGCATTTGCCAGTCTACCTCCAATAGACAAGCATACAGCTACAGCTACAGAGGCAGAGACAGCAGCACTGCATGCATGAACACCGTCTGCTGATTTAGGGTTCGACTTTAATAAAGATGCGGCCGTAGCACTGTGGTTGCTGGGCCATTAGGCCAAGTCCCAGAGCGACACAGGCAGCAAAGAGAATTAACAAAAGTTACGTAGACAGCACAAATTAATTAGATATACAATAAATTACTCAAATGCCAACAGCAGCAGATAAACACAAATACAGAGACACAGACATTGAATACGGAATCATTCATAAGTTCCCAGCGGATATACAATCTATTGATTTTATTCGATAAAAAAAAGCCTTGATTAAAATTTAAATATGTGCATATTATAATAAATTTAATTTATTAAGATTACATTAAATATGAAATATTTGTTGAATATTTCATGCAAACCCATTTGAATCGAGAATTTTTATATTAAATTTACTCAGATGACTTGCGAAAAGGAAAAAGAAAATCTTGAAAATGAAATCGCAGAAATCACAGCGCAAAGAGAAACATGAAGCCAAAAACAACAACAACAACAACAGCACAACAACCAAGGTAATGGCGTACAAACTGTGTGAGAAAAAGAAGCGAATCGGAGAGAAAGTGCAAGAGCAAAAGTAAAGGCAACAAGAACTATAATTTCCTAAAGGACTTAATTATTTTATAATAAGCACATAACACAAGCGAGCTACAGCCAAAGCGCAGACCCAAAGGCAGCAGGACGAGACTAGCAGAGACGGAGAAACAGAGAAGTAGACGGAGACAGAAGGCAGTGCAGAGAGGGTCACAGGAACAGTAAGGGAAGCCGCGTAAATGTAGCGCAAAAGTTGCTCAAGTTTTTCCACTCGCAAATCGGAGTGGACGGTAAATGGCGAGGCAGAACTGGGCTGCGACTGGGACTGGGACTCTAGTAAACGGAGACAGCGTAAATTGAGAAAATATTGCAGATTGTTTTTATCTCACTTCCTAGGGCAGTCACAACTCGATCCGCTTCTCTGCTGCCTTCGTTTTATTAATGCACACTTGAATGCATTTAGGCAATTAACTTTGATTTGCTGCAGTGTTTGATTGCGTAAATCAGTTAAAACTGTGTGAAAGAAAAACCACAAACAAATACCATGCTTAAGAATGCCAAATATTTAATATTTATATTATATTTATCTAAAAACTATAATGCAATTCAACATAGATCTATGTAAAGAAATTAATTAAATTAATTTAAAGAAATAATTAAATTAATTAAAGAAATGGGCAATGGGATTTCTGCAAGGTCAATGAGTGAAGCATTTGGTTGGGCTTCTGCTCATGCAGCGTCTCTAAAACAAAATTGATATTGGAATGGGCGCAGTGTTATAGCCCATCAAATTGGATGTGCTTCAAATAGTATTACGCATACGCATCGTTGGCCGGACGCAGCCGTTTAAACACTTGAAAAACAATATAAATTCATTCAGCATTGGGCTAAACGACGGCCAAACTATAAGCATAAGCTATAAACTACATGCACAGGCCAAATGCAGACAGGGCACATCAACATCAACAGCTACAACAACAGCAACAGCTAGGCATAAATAAATGCCCAACAATTGATACTTTGGCCGAAGAGAACAAATGCTACGAATTTATATAACAAGCGAGGGGCCAGCAGTTGCTTTCGACAGGCATAAAACAGAGCCAGAGCCAAATAGATAGTTAAATGTCTATACACACACACACCAGAGTGAGAGAGAGACAGAGTGAGAGAGAGAGAGAGAGAGAGACGTCATTTGGGTGCTGAGGGGTACGAAAAGGACGCTTGAAGAGCAGCATCAAATTCATTTGAATTGCAAAACAAACACAGGCCTAGCACCAGGCCCAGAGATGAACTTAATCATGTTGTAAATTTACATAATTTGACGTGTGTAGCAAAAAGAGGCATCAAGACAGCTGAATATATAAGTATATATGCATGTATATATAGATATGTATTGAATGGGCTACAATGGAATAGCAAAGAGTAGCTAGAAATGGAATGGCTAATATTATTAGTTGTCTTTGTATTTCAATCAGCAGAGCCATCAATTCGTTGGCTCATCACAAAATCAATTCTGATAAATTACTATTAGGGGCTGAGCAAATTAAAAGACGGCAATTAGATACAGCAAAGATTTAAATGTTTTTGAAAGAGAGCGAATCTTGCCATGGATAATTTATGAAATGGAAATTCATTTTATGAAAAGAGCAATTCAATGATGATGGCTAGACCAGAGAAATAGTTTAGTTTTCTATTAATCATTGTAATGCAATATGTATATTCATATATATGGCAGACATCCTTAAGAGCCAACAAGAAACAAGAGAAGTGTAGTGAGGGTTGCTTGATTAGAGGGTAACCTGAATACTGTTACACTCCATTGCTTCTATCAGATATGTCACATAGCATAGAGACATATAATGTAAGCTTGGCCAAACCCTACTAAACGGATCTTAGTAAATGTGGTCATTTGATATATA